GTCTGTATATGTCTACACAGATAAGCTTAGCTAGCTGTTCAGAACCAGTGAAATCAGAGAGTTGAAATAGAAGTTTTCAGGTTGTGAATTTTTTCATAGCACTAAGAAGTTCCAGTGTTCCACCACCACATCTTGTCTCCTATGGAAACTCTTTCTGGCAGTGCTGTCAATGTATAGATTAGCAAAATAGAAGCAGAGCCATTACTTTTTAAATCTGCAGTACATATATATTCACAACTCCTGCCTGTAAAACTGCCAGGAATCTCTTTACATTCACACAGTTACTGCTTTGTGAAACTTAAGAATAGCAACAAATATTTAGAAGAACACTGTATACAGTAAAGACTGGTCCAAAAAGGCAATGCAGCAAAAAAAATCTCATTCAGCATTTGGGGTGAATCAAAGAAGACATGGAGTTATTTTTGTTGTGTTTTTTAATGTAAATGTTGAATATTTGTAGAATCATTAAATAATGTTGGGTAAGTTAATGTGTTCAGTACACATCTATGGCCTAATGGTGATGTCCCTCATATCAATTGTAAATTCTGTTACTTTTAAAGGATTGTGAAATAACTTTTTTCAAGTTTCAAGGCAACAGAAATTAATTTCAGTATTAATGAATTTTTGTACTGAAATATTATCACTCATCACTCTTCATTTCCTGTCTTCTAGTTGAAGCTCTATACCAAACCACTTACCCAGAGTATCTCCAGTACATTTACCTAGTGGCTCCAATATCTCTTATGATGCTAAACCCTCTGGGTTTTATCTTCTGTGAAATCCAGAAGTGGAGAGACAATCGCACTGTGTCCCACAGCAAAATCAAAATAGTGGGCCTAGCACTCCTTCGAGTTCTGCAGAACCCAATTGTGTTCATGGTCTTCATAGGAATTGCTTCAAACTTTATTCTTGGCCAGAAAATTCCTGATTACCTTGAAAATTTCCTTGATGGACTGGGCAGTTCATTTTCTGGCTCTGCTCTTTTTTACCTTGGACTAACTATGGTGGGACAAACAAAAAAACTGACAAAGGGTATGTTTGTTGCACTGATCCTTCTCATCACAGCTAAACTGTAAGTTCTATTTATGTACTTTTATAATTTTGCTTTGTAAAGTGTTGCTGGATGTTTTAACCTCTGAGTATATTGGTCATATGACTTTTATTTCCAGTATTTCATCTAAATATTTTATTTGCTGCAGTTCTACAGTTAGCATAATAGAAATATTTTGTCACTGTATTTAGACAGTAAAATTTGGAAACTCTTGAATATCATAATTACAGCTAACTAGGAAACTTACTACAAGACCTATGTTGTAAACCATCTCAATTATAAGTTTTTTAAAATGTGAGAAAAATAAATGATTGTTGCTTATGGAAGCCTGTGCAAGGTTTACATAGCAAGCCCACGTAACATCTGTCTGCTAAAAGCATATAGACAAGCATGAATGGAGGGTTTTTTTGCCGGATAAAACTTTTAACGTGGGATACTTGGGCTTGCACACTTGTTCTATGTCAGACAGCTCATGGAAGTTGATCTGATTTTCAAGGTTGCTGACTTATGTATGTTTGCTGTTTCTTTAACAGTTGGAAATTAAGTTTTACTTTTATATTTTGCCTTTCTAAATCTGAAGTTATTGAAAGAATGTTTCTGCACAAATATGTACTAAAATGTGTTGATAATCAGTGTAATTTCTAACACTTCTGTGTATGTTTTGTTTCACTTGTGACAAGAAAATTTGAAACAGCTTATAGATCTCATGATTCTTTTTCTGAGTAAAAAAGGGTCTATTGCTCTGACTTAAACGAATGACTTCTTTCCCCCTTCTTTTTTCAGACTTATGATGCCATTTCTCTGTAGAGAAATGGTGGAACTCCTGGACAAGAGCAGCACAGTCAACCACACCAGTTTATCGAACTATGCATTTCTTTATGGAGTTTTTCCAGCAGCACCTGGTGTTGCAATATTTGCAACTCAATTTAATATGGAAGTAGGAATTGTATGTAGTCAGTTTTTTCCAAACTTTTGCTAACTTTGGGCTTGAGTTTGTTGAGTAAATACTTATATTACACAAATACTTATGTTAGAGTATTTAATAAGTACTTTTCTGAAGAACAGACTCCTTAGATTTCATGTCTCAGCTGTAATGCAAGTTAATAATTAACCAAAATGCTGCTTCCTGCTGACTCTTACATAAGTTCTTACACTTTTCTTATTCATGACAACAGTAGGAAAAAGTAGGATAATTTTTGTTTTCTTTTTTCAGAGGTCTTATTTTTGGTCTACTGTTTTAGTCAGAAATAGAGCAGGAATGTTGTCACTGATTTCAGTGGCAAAGTGAGATGAATTAGCTTCAAGCTGATAGCTTGTGGAAGAACCTGTGCTTTAACTGATTATTTTGTATAGTACTCCAATTAAATCTTGTGGTAGAAACATGTTTTACATAGAGGGTATCAAACATCTGTTCAACTTAAAATATGAAGTTTATAACTTTTTTTTTCCCACTTGAAGATTCTGAAAGTAAAACATTACAAGGTAGAAATTTGTGCCCAAGCAAGTTAAAATAGTGATTTGAAGAGTGAGCAGAAAGTCACCCTTCCATCACTGTAAATTCTAGAATTCTAGAAGGCAAAAAGATGATGAGAAGGCTAAATAGAAACAATTGAAATATAAAAATATGATTTCTACTCATGAATTTATACATATTACTGTTAACATAACTGAGTTTACTTATTTATGATGTGAATAACCAAAATTGCATCCAAAAGTATATTGTAACCATGTAAATTCACCTCTAGGTTGGAGTCATTAGTATCTCTAACACCCATGAAAAAGCTCTATAAGCATTTGCAGTTGAGAACTCTGCATTCCGACTACTTCAGAAGTTTGTTGAAACATGTAAAACGGATACTTCCTCTCAAATGCTAACTAATTTGTCCTGGAGACAACTCAATTATATGTTTAAAGCTCTGTGCTGAAGTTGAAGTTACAGTTTTGCTAGTGGTTATATTTAAAAAAAAAAAAAAAAAAAAAGACTTATTTAATTTGAGATTTACTTAACTCGGTTTGTGTTCTGTTTGACTCTTTTCAGATTACCTCAGGCATGGTGATAAGCACTTTTGTGTCTGCACCCATCATGTATGTTTCTGCATGGCTTTTGACCATTCCATCTATGGATCCCAACCCACTGGCATCTGCGCTCCAGAATGTTAGCTTTGACATAAGTATTGTCAGTCTTGTTTCTCTGGTAGGTGTTGGCAAAATGAAATACCATTGCACACTGTAATATCAGGGAAGCTTTAGTACATAAGCAGCAAATCGAGTCATGATTTAAGATGAGATTGATATTTCATCATTGGATCCTGTTGCAGAAGGATGAGGGAGGAGCTGGGTTTAAAAAAAAAAATCTGAAAAGCTGCACTGTGTGGAAAAACAATCTGAAGTGCTTGGATATTTTAGTAATGCAAGCTATGTAAAAACTTCTGCTGGAATTGAATTTAAACTGCTGAAATGTTAATGAATATTTAATTAATGAAGTAACAGTGTGAACATTTAACTTGGAAGTTTTAATTTAGCTTTATCAAATTCCTTTCCTGGTAGTTCTGGGTGTCTAATTGTGAAAAAGCATACTGAAATCTCAGAAGTCTGATGTGAATTGTGTTTTGATTTCACAAGCACTATAAATAATGTGCTTAGTCTTTTAATTTTAAATAAAAGATTCCGTGTTGGAGGAAGCAGATAACTTCTGAAGTTGGTATCACACTGAATCTTTTGTCACAAAACTGTCCCTCGAGGGAAGCATCAAGTAAAATCTGCCTCTTGACATCACTTTGGGAGATTTAAAAAGGACAGGATGAAAAGACTGTTAAATTCCAAACTTCCAGCCTATTCTGTGTCTGTTTATGTCTTGGGAAACAACCAGGCTTCTGCACGTGCTAGGCAAACCCTTGGTACTCCTTGGAAATATTTCACCATTGTGAGAACATGATGACACACTGCTTTTTCTAAGGCATCTAGATTGGCAGCAGGTGGCATCAAGCTTACTGTGGTAGTCATGTTGCTAAGAAACTTCTCAAGAAGATCTGTTGTATATTTAATTGCACCAAGTTTTGGCAGAGTGTTCATCTTGCTCTTTTTTAATTATTGTTGATGTTTTGTGTGTGTGTGTTGGTCTCACATTCAATTTTATCTCGTCTGTTACAGATTTGGTCTCTCATTGTTGTTCTTCTGAGTAAGAAATACAAACAGCTTCCTCATATGATTACAACAAATCTACTTGTTGCTCAGGTCAGTAGTAAAAAAATATTTTCTTCTTTGTGAGTGTGTGTCTTATTTCTAACACTTTTGCAATTTGGTTTCTGCAGCGTATCTTTGTAGCCATATAAAGTGAGCAGAGGAATCTAATGTCTGAAAAGTTTCTGTGATTTAAGAGGTATAGCCTTGAAGAAAATGGCACAGTGACTGTTTTGATCATACAGCTCTCATAGAGCAGCATCTCTAACAGACCTATAAGCAATCAGAATGGCAGATGGCTTTCACAATATATTTTTAGTGTTATAAACTACTGCCAAATAGCAGCGCTGACTGCACTTCCACTTCAGTTTATGCCAGTCTGAAGTCAGCAATGCCATGATAGGCAGCAACATGCATCCGACTCTTGGTGACCTGATTCAGGGAGTGAAGTAGGAAACTAGTCCACATGCTGGTTCAGCTACCTGAGGTGACTCACTGAGGGATCAGACGGGTGCCAGTGCTGATGCAAGGAAGGGGCGTGGGAATGCATGGCTGGTGGCTAGGGAACAGCAAAGCCAAATAGCTGATTTGGATTGGTTGTAATTGTTATTTAAGCTGAGGGATAATTATGGAGTATGTGCTTCTTATTTCCTTGAAGACAACTGCACAACTATTAGAATCAGTGAGTGTAACACAACTGTGCAGTGGATGCTTTTTGAAGTGTTGTTTTTGTTTGTTTTTAATAATAAAGTGAACTCTGAGATCTGATTGCAGTCACGTTTCAGAGAAGAAAATCGCATGTGAGAGTTGCAAGTGGTTCTTGTCTATAACAACATAAAGTTCACTTTAGGATTATTTTTGAGCCCTTGTATTAGTATTTCCTTAGTATTTCAGCCTATTTTTTCAGATTACTTCAGTACTAAAACTCTCGCATGAGGCTGAAAACTTGTATAATTCTTGGCTGATCTGTTGATGTTGACTCTCAGTTTCACGTTCAGGTCATTTCAGATGAATGGTTTGTACCTAACAAAAGCTTTGCATCTTGACTTAATATTTATAGTCTTGCAATAATTATATATACTTTACTTCCTGACTTTTCTTACTCCACTGCTGTCAAAAAAAGAATCAAAAAAAACAAGAGAAAGAAGAATGCCCCAGTCAGTGATGTAACCATAATTTAATTTATATATGTAAGCATAATACTTCTTACTGTGCTAACTATCTAATTCATAAAATTACATTGCAATGGTGTTTAGAAACTTAATGTAGCTATATTACACTGTGTTCAGGTTTGAGGCTTTTTGTGTGTGCTTTTGTCATCCTGCTTTCTGAATTTAAATAATGTCATCTTTTTTTTTCTTTTCAGTTTATTGCTTGCATTGGAATGGTGATATGGAATTTCACCATTAAACAGAAAGATGTAACTGTGCAGATCCTAATATTTATATTTCTCTACAGTTCACTTTATAGCACCTACCTGTGGACAGGTATGATTTTTCTAGGCAGAACTGGGTATAGTATAAAAGATTAATGTACTGACATAATTTGATTGTATTCTTCAGAGTAATTGTTCCATTCACTTGTATATAATTTCACAAACATACACTTAAAAGCTGTGCCAAGCTGAAGCCCTACCAACGCAGGGCTAAATGTCAGATGCTGCTTCTGCTATTCAAAGCTCATATATAGACACGTCTGGTTTCTCTTTGTCTGTTACAGTACAAGACTTGCTGGTTTATTAAAAAAAAAAAAAAAAAAGTCAAGAACCTGCTCTCAAAGCAAAAGCAATTACAAATAGAGTAAATGGGAATGGGTTGCCCTTCAGCTACTCAAAAGCTTACTGCCAATTTTTAATTAATGCAGAATGTAAGGCTTTAATTTATTCAGCATTAAGAAGATCTTAAAACCTTATGCCTCAAAAAACAGAATGGAGATAGCAAAGGAGCTTTAACATTTCTTCCCTGTGGCAATTGCAATTTCCAAAAACAGTGTATGTGTTCTGCAGGTGTAGATGATTAACGAAGAGGTTAGTTGTAGTAGACAAGTTTGAAAGATATATGAAGGAACTTGGGAAACCATTTGGGTGTGATTAAAACAGACTTCCTATGCCATTCCTGAGTCCAGAAGTGGAAAGGTTTATTTTGTGTGATGTTTTTGTCCAGTTCTGTGTTTGTTAGGCTGAGACAGAAAATAGCATATCATTAGTATAGTCTAGTGTAAATACTAGCTTTGCTTCGACAAGGAAAGTATTATTGGGCTTGGGAATGGAATTGACGTTTGCAGAAGATACTCCTATGTAAAGTTACTTCTGTAAAAAACACATTAAACGTTTTTGTGAAATTTAGCATTGACTTTACAAAGGACTCATCTTTTTTTAACCTTTATGAAGTAGTCACTTGTGTCTTAAGTATTCTTATGGCACCTTTTAAATACTTGTAAACATTCCTAAGCATTTATAGGTGGAAACAAATTATGATAGAATTTCTTCAAAGTTTCTTTATTCATATGATTTATTTTTGAAGTTAGGTATTTCTCTTTTACTTTCTCAGAATATAACTAGGAAAAAAAATGACTATTTTGGAATATTTGAGGACTGAGAGGCACTCTTTGGTTACTAAGCAGGTCACACACTAGAGTGTCTGGAGTCTGTAATTTTCAGTTCTCTTTTTAATAATAAACATTTCTTTTGTTCTTTGCAGGGTTTTTATCTTTCTCTTTGTTTCTGTTGAGGAAGAGAGAAACAGTAAAGATTCCCATCGGGTTTATAATCATAGCTGGATGGGGGTAAGTTAGCACAGATGTTTACCTGTAGGGTTGGTGAGAGCAAGCTCAATATGTTACATTATTCATATTTTGCACTTCCAGAGTTCCAATGCTTCTGGTGGGAATCTTGTTAATAGTTGGTGAACATAACAGCACTAGCATTGACTCTGCCTTTTTCTATGGAAAACATCAGGTATGAGTATCTTCTGTCCTTGTCTGTTCTGACTTTTGCCATATCCAATACATCATTAAGAAATTGTGTTTTCTATTTGTTTCTTATGTAAGTAGCTTTCAGTCAAAGTGCAGGCTACTGTAACAATATCATTATACAATGCTTACAGATTGCTATAAAAATATTTCTGTAATGAAGCATTCGAAAAACCTGTTTGAGCAATGACCTTCAAGTTTAGACAACTATGACTAAGAAAAAGAGGGAATAGACTTCCAAAAGAAAAGTCATAGGAGTAGTAACGAATTGCAGAGCTCTCTTCTTGGTGACTAATTTGTAGTCTAGCTTGATAATTATCTACAATTGACACCATCCAGTAGCTAATTAATGTTTTTTAAGCTGTAGTAGATAGGATCTATGTTACATTGTGACTGCTTACACTATGGGAGAATTTTCTGTGCAGTCAGGAGTTGAAAGTCCGGAAGGCTGAAATAGTTTTTTATCAATAAGTAGTTTGTCTTTGCTAGAGGACGTGATCTGTACTAGGGTAGCTAGTTGTTTTGTTTTCCCTCTGCCTTTCTTATGGATAGAGAGACTATGAGTTGCTCAAGATTATTCATGTGGTGCTTTCAAAAGTAACAAAATAGCTTCACAGTGGACAGTGGGTATTGGTGGCAGATGATTAGAATGAAACGTTAATTAATGGGATGTTCCCCATTGGAGAAAGCATGGAAATTTGAGCTGTGCTAGAGAGGAGGGGTGACAAGTGCATTCCTCTTTGGGAATTAAAAGGTACCTAAACTGAACTTAAAATGCAACAGTAATGGTCCTGAGGGGAAATAATATAATGACAAGAGGATGTTTTTGGAGCTCGTGGGAAATAGGAGTCCTCATGAAAAACAAGAGAGGAGGGGAAAAAAAGATAATGGGGAAAAAAAAAAGGGGGGG